TTTTTCTACCGCAAAGACTGAATAGCAATTTTGGGCAAACTATATACCTAACATTAGAACTTGTTTTTCTAGAATATTATTCCAAAAAATAGAGTGGTGTAGATTCCACCTTTGCAATGATTATCTCATTAAAGAACAGGGCTTGGGCTGATAATCACAATTCTTTTTCCATTCTTTCAGTTTGGGAATTTTCACTGAAGCAATTTCAGGTGCATGTGATAGTGGATTTATTCTTACTGAAGGGTTCCTTCAAATGTCTGGGTCATGTTCATGTTCTTTATCAATGGTGTTGATGAGAGCATTAATTTGTTCTTAGTTTTAGTGGATATTTCTGCTTCTGTCCTCCAACTGCTTTACTAACTCTGCTATATCTCATACTAAAATATTATGTATTAAAATATTGTACTAAAATGTTGTAATTCTAAGTGGTTTGTTTTTTTTTTTTTTTTTCCTAGAATGTTGGTAAAACCCAATCACAATATTATAATAGAACCTTTTCTCACTTCTCTGATTTAGTTTTTTTTTAGAGAGGACACTGTGTGTGTGGTACATGGATATCTGAAGTGTTTATATATACCTGTTTCTCTGCTTTGTCTAGAAAATCACAGTACTGATGTTAGTGTGATACCGTGAATGCCTTAACAGTTTTGTTCTATCCTAGTTTAATTATAATAGCACAGACTTTGTTCAATATTAATTCAAATTAATGATATTGAATATTATATTTCTTGTGGTCTGCTGTGAATGAATAAGCTTTGAGGAAAATGTAGATGAGTTTTGTTTTGTTTCCTCTCTTTTTTTTTTGTTTGTTTGGTTTTTGGGTTTTTCCTTTTTTTTTTTTTCCAAAAATTCTACTAAAATCAAACCTGTATGTCATACCCAATAAATTAAAGCATATAAAAAATAAAAAAGTATTAAAAACTGAACCAAATATATACCCTTGTAGCTCCTTCACTCCTCTAGGAGTAATCAAATTAAAAATGGAATCCAAAGTCTGACTCACTTGGAAAATCTTAGTGTCATGTTTCTGTTCTGGCTATCTCAGGTGATCGGTGGAGATAAAATTTGTAAATGTGGATTTTCAGCTGAGAACTAATCTGGGGTAAAAAGATTAGAGCCACATTCTGGTGAAGGTGCAAATTTGAGCTGAAGTAAGAGGAAAAAAGAATGGTTCTCTATTTTAGAAATAAAATTGTCATGAAACATAGGGTCTGCTTGAAGTCTTGTGTAGACTTCTGTTATATAACTTCTATCAGAGATAGACCACTATGTTTCCTATCATCTGGAGTTTCTTTGCTCCTTGAGAACACCTTCAGCTACATCTGTGCCACTTGGATAAAACAATAGCAACCTTTCTGCTTCCTTGATACCTTGCATGCCCACTGGTATGCCAAATCCTGTGGCAATCAGGGACTTAAAATCCAGTCAAAAGCAATATTATCAGCCAGGCTCTGAGTCTTATCCTATCATACAGGCAGATGTGTTACCAGCCTGTGACTTCATGTTATGATAAAAATTTTCATTCTAGATGTAAAAACCATTCATGAACTGGATCCCAGGACTGCTTTGTGTTGAAATGACTGATATCAAATAACCAAACAATATTACTATTATGTGACTTAGCTGCCTGTAAGAGCTGGAAGAACATAAGTTGATAGTCTCTTCCAGGGACACATTTGATGTTACATATTTCAGCTATAGGCAGTGTAACATATCACTGTAGTGTTGCATACATAGTGGTGCTCCTATTAAGTGACTTGTCAAGTGCACTATATCAGTCAGCTCTCTTGGTTTCCCAGCAGATCAGCACCTCTTTCAGTTATACCTCTCATTTCTTTCCTCTCTTATGTACATACAAGCAAAGCCCTGTATAAGTTACAAACATGGTTTTCTGTTAGAGGTTTTATGGTCTCCTCTTTTTTTTCTGTCACTGAAGAGGTGACTGCCTCTAAATTTGAAAATACAGTGTAGTTAAAGTGTAGATAAAGATTAAAGAAAAAACCACTTGGTCTAATAATGCCTCTATCATAATACTGAAGAAAAGGAATGTCACATTAACAATAGAGGCCTCATTTGTTATAAAAGAATTATTTTACTTTAATTAATCAGATTTAATTAACTTTAATTTAAGAAACTGTAATTTTGTATGATGGAAATATATGCTGCAACCTGAGATATGATCATTGGTCTGATAAACAAAGACTGCCTTCTGATTAACTCTTGGGTTTTTTCCCTTTTAATTTTCTTTTATTTTTCTTTTTTTTTCTCCCAAATCCAAAACCAACAACTACAATGTGACATTTTTTTGTAGATATTTTATCAGTCATTAATTGTGCATTTTAAAAATTTTAACAGGAATGCTTAGCCAGAAGACAGATTTTTGTTTAAATATTTGCTACGTTATACATGAGTTTGTTTTTGGCATGATTTATTTTATTTGTGATATCTTTGAAATTGCAACAATTAGGGAGTAAAACGTTTCAAAAAAGAGTTTTATGTAGTGCCTAAGACCTCCTTTGCTATTCAATCAATGGATTAATTATTAAACTGCTTGTATAAATGCATCACATTTGCTGTTGGCCTAATATTCTTTTTTCTTTCTCTAATGTTTACCCTACTGCTATACCTACAGATTTGTATTTGACTGTCACAATATTTTTGCTTGAATGAAAAAGACAAGCTCTTTTAGTCTCATAATAATTCTAAGTATTCTTCTGTGCTCCCATTCGTGTTCTAGAAATTTGCTTTCTCTGAACATCTGACTGAGGACAGGGTATTCATACTAGGACATCAGAGTCTAAGGAGAATATTGTGCCAATGGTAGCAGGCCTTGTCCATTTAGAATAAATTTAGTTGCTACCTAAAGCATTGACTTGTGGAGTGTGTATATACGACTCCATTCTGATCTGTCATTATCTAATGAAATTTATTGTTTCTGTTCACTTGTCTTCAACAGATTTCTCCTTAAGTGTCAGTAAGCAGATAAGCATGGGTTCTCTGGGACCTTTGAAATCCGGGTGGAGTCCTCTTGTCCATGCCATTCTTCCTCAGTGGTCTGCTGTTTGTTTTTAATGAGGTCTTTCTTCCTTTTTTTTCAGTATGCTTCCAGTTTTGCATAAAATTATTAACAAAATATTACCAAAGATCTTTCCCAACGCAGAAAACTGGACAAACCCAATTAACTATGTCTAAACTATCCTGTCAAATTGTTGTAAGTGGTTTGGAAAATGTCTTACTAACAGAAGAACTCTTCTAAAGCCTATCTTCTATGGTTTAATTTGCAGTTGAACCATATAAACAGTTTTGCTGAAGTCTAGAAGCAAGGAGCAAACCCAGAGAAGGCCACAAAAATGATAAGGGGCTGAAGCCCCTCTCTTAGGACAGCAGGCTGAGATAGTTGGGATTGTTCAGCCTAGAGAAGAGGAGGTTTCAGGGTGACTTAATTGTGGCCTTCAAGTACCTAACGGGGGCCTACAGGAAAGCTGGAGATGGACTTTTGTCAAAGGCATGTAGTGATAGAACAAGGGGCAGGATTCTTAAACTGAAAGGGGATAGGTTTAGATGAGATATTAGCAAGAAATTCTGTACTCTGAGGGTGGTGAGGCAGTGGTACAGGTAGCCCAGAGAAGTTGTGGATGCCTCATCCCTGGAGGTGTTCAAGGCCAAGTTGGGTGGGGCTCTGAGTAACCTGGTCTAGTGAAAGGTGCCCCTGCCCATGGCAGGGGATTTGGAACAAGATTATCTGTTATGTGTCTTCCAACCCAAATTCTATGATTATATGGCAGATTACATCTGCTGCACTTTCCAGAGTTTGTTTATCAAAGAAAATAACCAGTTAATGTGAGGTGATTTACCTTAATTGCACTATTGTTCATTAAATCTCATTTACTTTTTACCTGTATGATTCTAATTCTGTTTTTCCACATGTGTTCCCCTGACTGTACATACAGTTTAAGTTCTATTCCAGGTTTTATAGCTCCAAGATGCCTTTGCTTCCTCCTTACACTAAACATCCCATTTCCTATTACTGGTCAAAGGTACTGAATGAGATAGATATATTAAACATTCTTGCTTCTTAAGTTGCAATCTCTTGTGCTAAGTCCTTCACTGTTCTTGGATGGGGATTATCCAGTCCCATACACATGTGTAGGTCAAGATTTTCCTACTCAGATGGAAGGACATATTCATTTATCTGCATCTTTTCTTATTCCTTATGTCCACCTTTTCTACATTATCACCCAAATTGGAAACAGAGTAAAATGTTCATTTAGTTGAAGACTCTACTCAGATTATCATTCATGTCTATTCTTTTCTCCTTGCAGAGCAATCCCACTTCTACTCTCATTCCCTTTGTTATTAATACCACTACAAAACTTATTACTTTCTGTTTTAATTTCCTTTGGAAGTTTTAACTCATCATTTGAAAATTCTCACTTTTTGTCTATAATTTCTGACTTCCAAGAAATATCTGTTATTGCTGGCAAGTCACTTTTTCCTTTTCTCATAGCTTTTTAGTTTTACCCAAAAACAGAAGAAAAAAGAAAATTGTATGTCAAGGAATTTTTTTCCCACAACTTTCCCAATAAATCTTATCCAAAATATTTGGACGTTCTTCATTATCTTTGCAATATGTGTAAACCTTCACATACACACAAAGAAATATATTTTCTATCGTTATTTTTAATAAATATTTCTGTGAATGTGAATGAAACTGTCATAATACATGACATGCAGAGACCATATATACATATAACAAATATTGTGATGTTAGAAACAATCATCTACTAGATGAAAAGACAGTAATATAAAACAATTGAGAAAAAAGAACAAGTGTGAGAAGAATACTGAACACAGAAAGTTAGAAACTACCTCAATGCTTAAAAAGGATTTCATGTCTTCTTGTGACACTAGACTAAGAAATCTGTGTGTGTCTTAGGTTGCAAAATGTCTTGGAATCATTATACAAACTCAAGTAACATAGCTAGAATAAACACTTGCACCTTTTTATTATCCCAGATGTACTGTTGCAGATCATCTGTCTGGGTCTTGTTAAAGTTCTTTTGTGAAGAAATCCTGCAAGAAGTTCCCACTAGTCAAAAAATTAAAACAAATATCTACTTTATCATGAATAACCCGTCCATGTATTAATAATGATAAAAGAATAACACAACTTTGATTTTTGTGAGTACGAAATAACATGTCCTGGCAAAGAAAGAATGGTTTTGATTTCTAAGTCTACCGAAAACTGTGTTGTTTAGACTTCAGCATACTGACCATTTTCATTCGTGGATTGATGGCAGGAATAGTAAGCATTATATTCTGTGAACAGCTGAAAGAACTCCTCCTTTTAGGAAGCTTTCTCATGTATGAGATCAAGCATTCATGTCCCTTTCCAAATGACAAATCTAAGTGGACTGCAGCTGTGATTCCATTTGAGGAAAGGCTCCTCCTGCCAGGTGCCTCAACATACATTACAGTCGAAGGAGTCAGTGGACTCAGTGTAACTGGTAAAACCTGGAGTGGGAGTGCACTGAATGGGTGTACATACAATTGAATCCTGTGCTAGTCTAAGTCGGAGTACCTTGTGCCATTAGACTTCTGTAGAGCAGGACACATACACAGAACTGACAGATATTTAGTTTCTTCTTTGGAGGTTTGGGGCTTTGAGAGTTGCAGCTAGAAGCCAGAAAGAATACTGTAGGTGCTAAACAGTTTTGTTAAGGTAAAATGAATTACATCACCTAAGGTAATGTAGAATTGAAGCCTACCTCATGTGAAGGGTAACCCTAACAAATAATTTCTTAACATGTTTTAGATATGTTAATACTAGGCTATTCAGTTAATATATTTTTAAACTAGTTCTGAATTATTGTCATTACTCATTTTTTTTCTGGACAGGAAAAGGTGTCTTCACATTAATGGAAGAAGTAGAATAAATAGCATGTGAAGAACCAAAAGTACTAGACTTCCTAAGATGTAAACCACAGCTTCTTATTACTATGTGACCAAATTGCTAGCAGGTGAAAGAAATGGGAAATTGAAGTAAGTGGGGCAAAGACGAGAAACAGTAGATGTTGATAGTATTTCCCCTTTTTCATTCATCCAGCTGTCTAACCTGCATATACAACCCCACCACAACACTGAACATATATCACCTAAATATCTTTCTGTGTAGAGACTTCTCCTAATATATTCATTAAAAACATAAATAGGTCAGCTGTATCAATACATTACAGACATTCAGGCAGCTTGTTACTTTCATGCTATTTTAATCTTATAATCCAGTAATTAAACTTAGTATTTAAGGGTGTTTGAAAATGGTAACACAACAATTTAGACTTTTTCTGAAAAATTCAAGTTATTTTTCCAGAATGAATTATTCTTGGTTAGATCAGCAGGAAAAAAAAAATATGCACAGGATTCAAACCACCCTGTTCTGAAGCACTGCTTCATTTCCTTTTGGTGAGATGCACCACCATTACAAACACTAAGGACAAGCAAATAAGACCCAGTGGTAAGGAGAGGTCAGAGTGGCCCTTAAGGTGTAAAGGATCAGTGGAGGGGAATAGAGAGTTGAAAGAGAAAGAATTACAAAAGTTCAAAACCACTGGTGTATAAAAGGCAGAAGGATGTCATAATTTCTTGATATACATGGGTAAATCTGCTGGAGTCAGCTTACTGGAACAAAATTAAGATTGCCTAGTGTTTAAAAAAAATAAATTTCCAAGGCCTAGTCAATTCTATAAATTTAGTTTTCCAGACTTTTTTTTCTATTTACTTTCTTCATGAATATTTTCCTGCTGGTTCAGAGGAACTGGAGTATAAGAACCTAGGAACAGTTAAGAAATGTGTACTTGGTAGGATCTGGAGTAATTTGAAATGAAGAAGTGACTGATTGTGATTTTCATAAATTGCATATTGCCTCTTCTGGTTTCAGACAAAGTTAGATATACAGAAATAAAAAAATGCAACCCCTGCAATGAGTTTGTGTCAGTTCATATTTTCAGGATGAATGTGTCAAAGCAGAAAAGATGGAAAATTTTATGTAAAAGCTAGAATTCACATTTGTTTAAGTCTTTATTCCTGGTCTTTAGGCATCAGAAAGAAAAAAACCAATAATTTAATTTTAGGTGTTTTCCAATTCTATGGATGCTTTGAGAAAGAAAGGCAAATACATTACAAAATGTTGGAAATATTCACAGGTCTACTTTGGTATTTGTCTTTTATCATCCCACCAATTGCTTGTGACTACTTTCTGGTGTTAAATCCCTTCTAAAGGAATTCCTTGTTTTGGCAAAGGTACCAGGACAAGATTATTGTTATTTCTTTTTCTCTGGTCATATTAAATCGTTTTTCCATGCTATTTCAGAAAACATATGAAAAAGGAAAGTGGAATTCCTCAGCTGGATGAAGCAGCTGTTTGGTGTTTACTCTTAATCACTTGGTAGATGTCTTCATTCACTGCCCTTGTCAGTGCAGTCTCTAGAAAGGTAATGGGGTTCTTTTTTCTTTCAGCCATAATTTTCTAACATATTATAGAAATTCATAGCAAATAAAGATATTAATCAGATTTTTGTAAGGTCTTTAATATTACGGAAATTAACAGTAATGAAAGTACTTATGAATTGATTATTTACCTATATTATAAAATACATTTTTGTCCTTGACCTTAATCATGTTTTCTGGGCTCTGTGCCATAAAAAAGTAATTAACAAGAGATTTTATATACATATATATACACATATATATGTGTATATATATATATATATATAATGGTATTTTTAATCTCATCCCTACAGATGTAGAACTAGTTGCATTAGTTTCTGACATATACACTAAGTGTTACTTAAATTTAACAAGTTAGTTTATAATTATATGTTGGATTATCTAAATTTTGAATTTATTTACCTCTTCCTGTTTCCAGATGTTAAAATGTTACTTCCAAAAAGCTTTTTGTAATACTAGCAAAATCTTTCTCCTATCTACTTTGAGATTTCTCAGCATCTCATTTATTTTCAGAGTTTGATCAAACTTGATGACTTATTTATAGTAGGTTGTTATTGTGCTTAGTGCTGTAAAAACCATGGACTCTATTCCAAAACCCCATACTTTAAATCAGATCCAGGCAGTCCAGTTGAACACACTGTACAATTGCTTCATCAGTTTCCATTGAATGATAAAATTTCTTTCATTATTTTCTCTTTATAACTCAAGAAATGCAAAATGTATGACTGTTTTCTAGTATTCATTCCATATCCTCCTTTCTGAAAATTGATATGAAGATTTGTTTAAACTGATAGCGGTAACTACCTCTTCTGTGAATAAATTACACTTCCCATTTCTGAGAGGTCCTACTCTTTTCCTCCTTGCTGACCTCTTCTTCTCCATGTACTTTAAAAAATTCTGATTTATCTCAAACCCTCATGCAATCTGCTTTTCATTTTCTACCCTTAATTTTCTTATCATTTTTTGCACTCTCTCTTAACTTCATTCTCTAATCTTCTCAGTACTGCTGTGTAGCTGATGTTTTATGCCTCATATTTCCTTTTTCCTTACTTTTGATTACATTTTGGACTTTCCAGCTCATCCTCAATGACTTTTTACTCCTTGTATATGTATTGCAAGATTGCACATGCAACCTTTGGGTATGCATTCATTTACCTCTTCACTTTTTTTTCTTCAGCTGTCAATATTTTCCTTTAATGTTTTCATCATGTTAATTTTTCATCTGACATGCTACATTTCTCTAAAATGACTAATCCTAAATGTTTTGAATTTTTTAACTAGTACCGGTTTGATTTGTCTTTCTAGTTTTGAAAGCAACTCTGGTATTTTTAATTCTTTTATGACTAGGTTTTTATGCCTCTAGTTAAATTATAATCTCAGAATTTCTTACAATTCCTACTTTCAAAGTATGCGTAAAAAAGATGGAAAACCTGCCTGGGAACAGGAACAGTATTCGTTTTGTATAACAACAATTGCATTGCTAAAGATAAACAAATTAATCCTAAGGAAGTGCTTTTCCATTTTCTGTGCCAGTTGAGGATTCCACTAAGCCAGAGGATCCTTAGATATCACATTAAGGCAACTCTGCTGACCATTCCTGTCTGCAGTATATTTTCTAAAGTTAGCGAATGAGTTTGTTCCATTGAAAGGTCTACATCTGAACTGGTAATAAGATACTAGTGGTCGCTGTGGAGATCAGTGGCCATAGATCTTACAAAGAAGTGTTTATGATGCCTAGGAGTGACAGTTGCTATGAATCAAGCTCTATTATGAACAATCAAAAGTAAAGATGCTAGAGGGTTAGGCAGAAATTCTTAAGTGCTATACACAGTTAATAGGTATTTCTGTTTCTATAAAAAATTCATTTGCTGCATAGGGCTTTGTGTTTGTGTATGTGCACACATACATGTATGTATACACAATAATTTATATACAATATCATCTTGGCAAGTTGATGTTAATTTGACAAGGCTGAACATAGCTGTGATTTTTTAAGGTGTTGTCTTCTCTCGTAATGAAAAACCATTAGATTAACAGAAAGTAAGTTGCTCACTGAATTCATGAATATTTCAAGCTAGTTAATAAAGGTGGTGTAGCCAGGCCTTTGGTCCCCCTCCACTCCTTCTGAGGCTGAAGACTTTATCAAAGTTAAAAAAAAGTAGAGGAGAGCAGTGAGTATGTGGAATAATTGAAGCATCAGATAACGCAGGGGGCACGTTAAGGATTTCTTGTTTAGGCTTCAATCAAATAAAAGCTGATCCAAAATCTCCCTCTTGTGTGAGATGCGCACTCAGAGTAGATTCTAGCCCTAAGTATTTATCAGATTTTCAGCAAATTGATTTGAGTTTTGAACTGTACAAAATAAATGAGGTTTAAGAGTTCTGGATTAAATTTGTACTTGTATTATAGCTGCAAATGGCTTCAATATATAAAATTATAATTTTGGAAGTGGTAAATGTACCAAGATTTTATTGCACAAAAATTAAAATCGAGAGACATCAAATACTGAAACGGATGTCATATGTGATTTATAGCTAGCTTTAAAAAATAACATGTTGAGCAGATATATTTCTGATTTAACATTGTTTCAGACCTTCATGAACATCAAAAAGTTTTGTAGTATCAGTAAGACATTCAACCTGAGAGAAACACTGAGGAATCAAGAGTTAAACATTAACTTTACATGAAAATATATACCTAAACCAAGGTGGCAGCGTGAAAGCTTTCTCTGATACACTGTGCTGGGTGGGGGAAGGGAGAACTGAAAATGAGGAAAGGAACAAACTGGACCCTTAGTGCCAAGCAGCACAAATTAGAGTTAAGATGAATAAGAAGAATCCAAGAGCTATTAATCGAAGCTCAGCACCTCCAGGGATAAATGATTCTTATGCCTGAAATAGATTTAACTCTCCCCAAACAGTAATCTCACTCCTGAACAGGAAATGAAAATAAAAGCGAGTTACCTACCAGGCAAGAGCAGTCTTTACCTTCTGAATATTGCGGTCACTCAAGAGCTGCTAAATGTCTCTCTCTCAGTCCCCTACTACAAAATGTGTGAATGTGAATGCCTGTGATTTCTTTAACTATAGAGGGATTTTAAAAAGGGACCCTCATATCTGAACCCTCAGTTCTTCCTTGTATCAGTGCTCTGTCATTAGTATGTTTTCTACATATTGCATCATTTGCAATGTACTTTCACAAACTGTAGTACTTCCTCTGCCAACTCTGCCAACCTGAGAATCATTGCTTCAATTTTGAAATGCAGGAATTCTTAGAAGTTATTATTCCAGAGTTCTGATGAATGATTTACATTTTTAAAGAATGTTAGATATGCTGCTACTAACTTCAGGTTTAGCTGAGTACTATTAGTTTTCAGATACATTTAATTTAGTTCACATGGTTTTCTCCTATTTTCTGATTTAAGCAACACCAAACATATGTTTAAAAGATGCAATACTCATTTTGGAATTTTTTTAAGAAGCTTTTGGCTTAGAAGACAATGGATTGTTTCCAATAGGAGCAGGGTTAGATGAATGCTGTGGCATTCTACAAGTCTGACCCTGAAAGACTGTCTTTATTTAGCCGCTGAATAGGGCAGGGAGGAAGCAAGCATCTACTACTACAATTTTCTTTTATTCCAGAGTTCTTTTCTGGAAAGGCTTCTTCAACCTTTCCTCAAAAGACTGTAATTCATGTTTAGCTGTAATTCATATTATAGACATCTTTTCCTGATTTGTCTGTTTCCACTGGGATTTCATTGATTTGGATAAATCTAGCTGCAGTGGAGTCAGTGGCAAATTTTTTACTTCATTGGTATGAGGATTTCATCTTCCAGTTCCTGTTCCCTAAGCCAGTTCAGGTGCAGCTACTTTAGTAAAGTTGTTGTAGTACACAGTAGCCTGATTCTTCATTTTTCCTTTTCACTGGATGTGAAAAACTATATTTTTATTAATTTGGTAGTTCATTCATGAATTAGTATTATACAGAGAGCCTCTGACTGACCCTGAGTTGGAATACCCAAGAGTCTTCCATTTTGTGTTTTAGAGTGTGTCAGATATATGACAGGAAGGGAAATTTCTCTTATCTCTGTGGGTTAGACAAGTTTCTAACGACCTTAGAAGCAGATCTTAATTATTAAATTTTCTGGTTGAAAATCAAGGGCTTCCCAACTTTTAACACTTGTTTTCAATCACATATGTATCTCAATCTGGAGAAAAATTACTTCATATCATCTTCAGTTTTCTTTCTCTGAACTTGCTTCTTTTTTTTCTGTACTAGGAGAAAATACTTGACTTTCTAGAGAAAATCCTTAAGTTAGTGTATACTAGAATGTGTATACACAGGTTGTTCAGAATACAGAAGCACTGCAAAAGTGACACTTTTTGTTTTAATTGTCTTGGTTTTGTAACAGTTTCTAGCATTGTTGGTGCTTTTATTTTTTTTTAATACTGTGTCTGATACTTGAAATTATGTTTTGTAGAAATATCTGGTCAAAGGACGTGAGGTTTTGTTCCTGAGCAGCAGTAATCAGATCGCATGTCCTCATTACATGGAAAGTTATGGGGTCTTTCACATGCTTCATCCATTTAACTGCACTGAATTTCACCTCCTTTGATATTAGAAGGACTCTACATTCTGAAACTCGCTTTTTCACTTCCTTAAATAGTATCTTAAGCAAACTCCATCCCCCCAGTCTATCCATCCCTATTTCCAGATAATTTCTGAATATATTGAGCTATCTACTCCTCTGCCCAGGAATCATTTGGCCTTCATTTTCATTTACCATGAAAGTGATTTTTTTAAATTTTTTTAAAAAATATTTATTCACATGAGGACAGACTTTCTTATCCTGGGGCAGACATGGTTGATTTGGACTTTTTGTTGAGAGTCACAGTAAAATGGTTTTTGAATATCAAATGCTTTTTTTAAAGTGGATCTGCGCTTTCCATAGCCTGTTTACCCATCTTCAGAGGTTTATTTAAGTAATCTGAGATATTTCAGTAGGCATGTGTGTTTCTAATATGCGGTATTAGTGTAGAGGGCTTGTTCCTACAGATCTAGTCCCTGCTCTCCACTATGTGAATACTCCCTTAAGTTTTCACTAGCCGTTTTTTTAAAAAAAAGAAATAACATAATAGGTATGTTGTGTGCAGTAATCAGGATAGAAAAGTGAGGTAGAGTGTGTTAGTGTTTGAAGGACTGTGGTAGCGGGACATGACTCAGCAGTGGTTGCTCCTGGGGCAGTGCAGAGGAGAAGGCTTTGTGGAGAACGAGTAGTGAGCAGAGGGAATCTCAGAGGTTAAAACATGGCTAGAGAGGTGTAATGAGAACTAGAAGTTCTGTATTATTAAGTTCAGTAAACTCTCCCAGTAAACCAACAAGAAAAAGCCATGAAAATATCCCATAGCAACCAATATTCACTCCTGCCATACTCATTCACCACCTTTCAATAAAGCACTAATGCTCCCTCTAAGACATAGAATCACACAATCACAGAATCATAGAATCAACCAGATTGGAAAAGACCTCCAAGATCATCAAGTCCAACCCTTCATCCACTACTGCCATGGTTATTAGACCATGGCACTAAGTGCCACATCCAGTCTCATCTTAAAAGCCTCCAGGAACGGTGAATCCACCCCCTCCCTGGGCAGCCCATTCCAAAGTCTGATTACTCTCTCTGTAAAAAATTTCTTCCTAATATCCAACCTAAACCTCCCCTGGCACAGCTTAAGACTGTGCCCTCCTGTCCTACTGCTGGTTGCTTGGGAGAAGAGACCAAGACCCACCTGACTACAACCTCCTTTCAGGTCGTTGTAGAGAGTGATGAGGTCTCCCCTGGGCCTCCTGACCTCCAGGCAAAACAGCCCAAGCTCCCTCAGCCTCTCCTCATAAGACTTGTGCTCAAGTCCCTTCACCAACCTCGTTGCTCTTCTCTGGACCTGCTCCATCACCTCAATATCCTTCTTGAACTGAGGGGCCCAGAACTGGACACAGTACTCCAGGTATGGCCTCACCAGCAAATGGATACCTTATCTGCTAAACAGTGATCATGTTTCAAGGCCGTCTTACCTCTGATAGAAGATGTCATGTTTTCTGTTAGGATATAATAGTAGAGCAGCACATCTCTGATGCTGTATGCAGATGAAGCTGAAAGTTGTGCTCAAGCATAGTTCAGAAGTGTCACGTCCTTTCAAGCAAAGCTGAGCAGTTTTCTGTATCTTGTGAGATTTAAATGCACATGCAAGTTTGTCTTTGTATATCACTTGTTTTTACAATGAATGTGAAATTTGTGCTGAATATCGAGAGATTCCCATTCATTTTAGGTCTATCCATTGACTGTTTCCAACAACATACTTAGAAGAATTTAAATGTATGTTTAACTCATTCCCATGTAATGGTTTAAAAAGTGCTGGATTATTATTTTAGGTTAAGAAGTCCATAAGAAAAAAATAAATCTGTGTAAAACACATTGTTTCTTAATCTCACTATGGTGTAAGGACTGCAAGCATCTACTTCTATTAATAAGTTAACATATTATCTTTTTCAACATAAAGCCAAAAATAAAGATGAACTTTAATTTAAATGGGAGTGAAACCCTTTCGGAAACAGTAAGGACAGAAAATTAGATGGCAAAGGCTACTGGAGAGTGTGCAGCAAGCTCTTCAAGTATGTATTAGAAGGCCAACATCTTCCCAGACTGTTTGTTAGAAGGAATAGTGTGCTTACTACAATTAGTATCCTGAACAACTCCGAGATGATCATAGACACAGCTGTTGTTGTTTAAGGTAGCAGGCACATCAATGGCAAGGCAGTAGGTATTGATCTGTGCAGTGACATCCTTCTAGCTATTTCATCTGAGTGAAAGAAGCCCCCAAATTAACCAATAATAAAGTATTAGAAGATGTAGTAGTTGCCTCCTGGGACTTGTTCTGGTTAAGGATAGATACCTCTCCTCTTCCCACAGCCATCAATCCTCTTTGAAGGATTGCACACAGGTCTTCATTGGTCAAAAACAAAATGTGAAGTCCAAAAGGACAAAGTAGCAGACTGCTGGATTTTATATATATTGAAAATTTCCTCATGGGATACGGAAACTCTATCTAACTCTTGATATGCAATTTAAAAAAATATTACAAACTCTGAATAAATTTTCCTCTTTAGTATTTGAATACAGATGATTTAAATGTATAGTCCTATTTTCATCAAAATCAGATGTCAAAAATTGTTAGTTATATCAACTTGATTTTCTTACTGTTCTGATTGTACAGTCCATTTTTGTCATGGGCCACTGGCTATATAGTACATCAGCTGACTGTATGTAATAAAGGGTAACAGGCCTGGACATTGTTGATGTTAGAGCAGTAAAAAGCAGTGACCATAAATACTTAATCAACAGGAACATCAATGAGAAATTCTGTATGTAAGTAATAATCATATAACATATAAAATGTTACTCAAAGAACTTGAGCTCTAATTTGGACTTAATCTGTCCCATACTATGATGAGATTTCTGTTTATTTAGTAATATAAAACCTACTTGTAATCAAACTTTTTACAGTTCTTGAATTACTTTTTTTAAAGGTTATGTATTATATAAAGCATTATATGACTAAATTCGTTCTCTTGCTCTTTTCAAGTAGATGGGCAAAAAATTCTGTTGATATATAAGTTTTAGTCAAGCAAATATTTAATTAAATTTGAAAAAGTGGATTTATATTACTGATTTTGAGATCCAGATGCAATTATAGACCAAGCTTTAATTCAAAAACTGAAAGTATCTTTTTATATACGAATTACATTACAACTCCATATAGATTCATATTTCCAAAAACTCATAACTGCAAGTATGGCTGAAGTAAAACAAATATTTGACAGTATATATTGTCTGAAAAACAACACAATAGTTGTTTGCATTAGTTATTTTCTATAAATATTCACTCCACTGAATGAAAGTTTACTTTTTTTCTTCTTTTTTTTCTTGCATCTAGAGGAAAAATTAGTATCTAAACCATGGCTCTCAAGATCATGCACAAATAATCTCAAACAGGAGAAAGAGTTAAAAAAAGTCTTCTACAATTATTAAAAAAAGAAAAATCCAAAGCTCTTACAACATGGAGAGAGG